ACTTGGAACCCCTACAATATCTTTAAATGTAAAGTAGGTATGGGAGGGAATTTTGTCTAGAGAAAGAGGTTTACTCCCTAAAGGGTTGTTGGCTCCAGAGTGGGTGGATAATAGAATATGGATGAGTGTAGCCGACAGCTATTAGAAACGGCAGTAGAAAGTGGAATGTAACGAATCGAGTTAAGGCGAGCGTTATCAATTGTGAAAACCTCCCCTCAAATTCATTGGACTAATCTGTGCCAATATAGGGAAATGGCAGAAAATAAGTTTGTAATAACGGTGGTTACCCCAAAAACGATTTTTGCCCCAGGGTAGGTATAAATCTAGTAAGGCTGGGGCTATGTTAAAACAGAATTAGAATGTTCAATTCTCTAAGCGTGGAAAAGAGCAAATGTCCTATAAAAAATCTTCTTGTCGATATGGGAGGTAGATACGGGATAAAGAAAAAAGGACACGAACCTCCTAGAGAGTAAAGGTTATATGGTGAGATGATTTTAAGGGAGGAGGACCGTAATTTGCGGTTAATTAAGTGAGGCGAAAAAATATGTCCGGGTGGATGGGAAGTGGAAGACCACAGAAGCCTGAGATTAGCTGTGTATATAAGAAAGTAGATGATTATTCAGGATATGGTTCATTAATAAGTATGGCGAATAAGTATTCATATAGAGAAGATGTTAATAGATGAGTAGGTTAAAATTTTTCGGGGGGGGGGGTTGGTGTTGATGATTCCTCCTGGTGTCCAATGTAGCAGAAGAGATCCTACCTAAAAAGAGAAGCGATGTGTGTATAATATCTCTGAGGGATAAATAAGAAATTAGGAAATATTGGGGTTGTTTTTGGATTGTTATGAGGAATAATAATCTTGTGTTCAAATTAAGACCTTCTGGACTTGGGGAAATCAAAAATGGACAGGAGCAGCCCCTAGTTTAAGGAAGAGAAGGAGGTTAAGGAAAATAAATGAGAGCGGAGACTATTGGATAAAATGTTAAGGTTGAAGATAGGATGATAATGGCTGGACGCCAAGGGCTTGGATTAAAAAGAAATATTTCAAGGAGGCTTCGGATGGAAGTTGTTTTTCTTTTGATGAGATTAAAGGGATAAATGATTTAAGATGGTTCGAGGTTCTCAATTCAGGCTGAAAAATTATGAGGGGGAAGAATAGAAGAATCGGCCAGGAGGATCTTGACAAAAGTGATAGTATATGAATGATTTTATGACGGTGAGAATGAAATTATAAAGAGTAGATATTCCCATAAATGAGGTATGAGCTCATTAGCTTAAACTTAGCTTGTCTTATAGTATATGTAGAAGTGTATAGGGCATGAAAAGGTTGATCTTTCGGGGATGGTTTGCTGACTCAATTTAAATAAAGAGTGTTGGGGACTAAAGGCGGGCAAGGGTAGGGATCTTTAGATCTTGAGTTCTCTTTGAATATCTGCTGGTCTTAGTAGATTTGAGAGGATGAGGTGTAAGTTGTCTTAGAAAAATTAAAAATGAAAAGAGCATGTAATGGGGGGTGTAAATATTGTATTTTTTTATCTTTTTATATATATACATTTCTTTATATGAAAGTAACGTGCATTAAGGGTGTAATTCGTGAGTAAGTTAATTTTTACTGTAATAGAACGATGACATTGAGCTATGGCGATTGATACAGCTAATAAGTAGAACCTTCGTGAGAAAGGGGATTCTCTTATAGCATGTATTGATCGTTCCTTCTAGATTACCCCATTTTCCGAAGGATATTCCTAAACAGACGATCATTGAAGAAGATAAAATGAAGCTGTTACTTCTTTATATTAATTCCGAAAAGATACATGAGGGAAAGAGAATATGAGTGTCAGTTGATTATAGCAGTTAAACTAATTAATGAAGATAGCTTGATATATATAAATTTATTGTTATGTGTAGCTTCGAGGTGTAACATTGTTGTTTTTAGGGGGGAGAGAGTTTTAAGGGCGTGGGATTTTATATAAAATTGGTGATGGTAGGGGTTACGTTTATTTGAGTGCGGGGGGACTTTACCGCGACCTGCGATACGATATTTGGGGAATGTATTATGCTTGTATAAGTTTTCTTCCCATATCTTTAAATTTTTTTATTTTTTTTCCTTAGGTAAAAATTAATTTAGTGTAAATAAATTTACATGTGGTGGGTATGGTTTCATTGGATGATTTTCCTTTAATTACTTTCAAAACATTTGTTTTATTAAAACTAAATAGCCATTTTGAAGGAAGGTCCGGTATAAAGGGTACATAAATGGTAGGACATGGGGAAGGATTCTTTATTGGTAATGTAATATGGCCTGTGTGAGCTTGACCTGTGGTAAATTTAAAGATCCATCTATAGATCGAGCTCCGATCCATGCCAATAAAATGATTGTTAGAGATAAGAGTTCAAAAATAGAAGCTGATATTTAAAGGAGATAAAAGGTAAGGCCTCGGATTTTGATTAGGGTGGAAGGGAAATTTGTCTAGAGAAGAGAAGAGTGTATACTCCTAAGGGGTTGTTGGCTCAGAGTGGTGGATAAATAGAATATGGATGAGTGCAGGTAGCCGTTAGCTATTAGAACGGCAGCTTAAAAAGTAGGAATGTAAAAGAATCGAGTTAGGTGGTGCTATCAACTGTGAACCCTCCCCAAATTCATTGGACTTAAATCTGTGCCAATTATAGTTGAATGGCAGAAGAAAATAAAGTTTGTAATCAACGGTGGCACCTCCAAACGATATTTCTCCCCAGGGTAGGATATAATTAGAATGGCTGGGCTATTGTTAAAACAGAATTTAGAATGTCAATTCCCTAAGCGTGGGAAAGAGCAAATGTCCTATAATAAACATCTTGTCCGATATGGGAGTAGATACGGATAAAAAAAAGGAGACGAACCTTCTAGAGAATAAAGGTTTATAGGTGAGATGATTTTAGGAAGGAAGACTGTAATTTACGTTAATTAAGTTGAGGAAAAATATGTCATGGGTGGATGCGAAGGTGGAAGACCGCAGAAGCCGAGATTAGAGTGTATAAGAAAGTAGATTGTTTAGGAGGTCTCATTAATAAGTACGGCGAAAAGTATTCATGAAAGATGATTAATAGATGAGTAGGTTAAAATTTTTCGGAGAGGTGTTTGATTGATCCTTCCTAGTGCTCTTGATGGTAGCGAAGAGATTCCCGCCTAAAAAAAAAAGAAGCAAGTGTATATAATATTTTCTGAGGGTAAATAGAAATTAGGATATTGGGGGCAAGTTTTTGGATATTTGTTATGAGAATAATAATCTGAGTTTCAATTAAGACCCTCTATGACTTGGGGAGGAAATCAAAAAATGGACCGGAGCGGGGCCCCTAGTTTTAAAGAGAGAGTTTAAGGAAATAAATGACGAGCGAGACTATGGAATAAAATGTTTTTAAAGGTTTGAAGATAGGATGATAATGGGCTGAGCCAAGGGCTTGGATTAAGAAATAATTCAAGGGGGCTTCGGATGGAAGTTGATTTCTTTTGATGGGATTAAAGGGATAAAGATATAAGATTGAGTTCGAGGTCAATTAAGGCTGGAAAATCATGAGGAGGAAGAAGAAGCTGGCCAGGAAGGATCCTGACAAAAATGATAGTATATGAAACGATTTTATGAGGTGAGAATGGAAATTATAAAGAGAGATTATTCTATAAATGAGGTATGAGCCCATTAGCTTGGAAACTTAGTTATCTTTATAGTTTTATGTAGAAGTGTAATAGGGCATGAAAAAGGTTTTGATTTTGATCCTTTCGGGGATTGGTGTGATTCCCAATTTTCATAAGAGTGTTGGGGACCTTAAAGGGGGTTACTATAAGGGTATTAGAGGTTTACTTAAAGTATCTTGAATTCCTCTTTGAATATCTGGCTGTTCTTAGTAGATTTGAGAGGTGAGGTGTAAGTTGTCTAAATTAATTAAAATGAAAAGCATGTAAAAAGGGGGTGTTAAATTTTGTATTTTTTTATTTTATATATATATACATTTCTTTGTATGGAAAGTTAGTGCAATTAAGTGTAATTCGTGGGGTAAGTTAATTTATACTGTAATAGACGATGACATTTGAGCTCCTGCGAATTGATTACAGCTAATAAGTAGAACCCTTCGTGAGAAAAGGGGATTCTACTTATAGCTGTATTGATTGTCTCCTTCTAGATTCCCCCATTTTCACGAAGATATTCTAACAGACGATCATTGAAGAAGATTAAAATGAAGCTGTTGCTTCTTTATATTCTACTCTCCGAAAGATACAACCTGGAAGAGATATGAGTGTCAGTTGATTTAGCAGTAAACTAATTATTGAAGATAGCTTGATATATTATTAAATTTGTTGTTATGTGCTAGCTTCAAGTGTATAAATACTTAAATGGAGTAGATATATGACATGTGCGCAGATACACTATGGAGTTATTATATATAGTTAGTAGATTATAGCAATGGAACTAATTATGAAATGGCTTGATATTATATATATATATTGTATTAGTACTAGCTTCAAGTATATAAATACTTAAATGGAGTAGATAATGACATGTTGCGCAAGCGGATTACACTTGAATGGACCTATATATATATTATGGATTATATAATTTACAAGATATGAATGATTTTCGACGAAGTGATTTTAATTTAAAGAAATGATATATATATAGACATAAGGGGGATGGGAGAATTTGTAAAGTTAAATACGTAGTTTTTTATGATAGGTTTCTGTAGTTTATTTGTTTGAGAGATTAAAATTGAAATTCAAAGTTAAAGCTAAAGATTAGCATTTCACTTACGTTTGAAAAGGTTGTCGCAGGGAGTGTGACTTATTTTGGTTGCTATGAAGGACTTTGCTAATTATTATGGTTAGGAAAAAATATTTTTTGGTTTAAGTAGGTAATAAGGAAATTAATAGATTGGTGATAGAGAATAGTACTGTACAGGAAGGTTGAAAATATTTTAGTGAAATAAATAGGAAGGATTAGTTAAATTAAAATTTACCTTGTGTATTAGAGGATATTTTACATTAAAAATTTATATTATCTTCCCGAAAGAAGAAGAGCTAAATTAAAGGTCGAGTTCTTTTGTGGTTAAAAAAAACATTCTAAACCTTATTTTAGTAGTGAAATGTTAATCGAGGTCTTAAAGGTATCAGGTTTTTTTTTTTTTAAAAAAAAATCATTTTTTCTTTGCCATTAAGTGTAAGCAAGGCTTAGGAACAAAGGGGGCTAGCTCTTTGTTTAAATTATTTTAGTTATAAAAATAAATAGAAAGTATGTTTAACTAGCTTAGGGGAGGTAGCTATGTTTTACAGGGAGAGAAGCATTTAATTATTTTTTAAGTTTCGATAGGAAAGACTTTTTATGAATTTAGTTTAAAGATTTAAAGTGAGTGTATTAGGGATAAGTTGTTTGTTTTAAATAAATTTTGGGAAAGAAATTAATGGGGGGTTTATTGAAAGGGTGGTGATATAAGGATTCGTTAAGTAGGGCTTCTTCCGCCTGTTTATCAAAAACATGTCTGTATGAGAGTTTTTTAAATTCTGACCTGCCCATTGGGGGACTAAAAGGCCCGGTATTTTGAACGTGCGAAGGTAGTATAACATTAGTCTTTTAATTGAAGGCTGGAATGAATGTTTGGACGAGAAGGGAAAAGCTGTCTCTATCTCGGAGATTGAATTTAACTTTTAGTGAAAAAGGTTTTCTTAAATGAGTTAGAGGGACGATAAGACCTATAAAAGTTTATACATGAAGTTGGTTAAGAGGATTTAAGGTGTTAAAGTATATTGTCAGTAGAGTTGGTTTAGTTGGGGGTGACTAGGATATAAATTTATATAACTGTTTTTTGTTTAAATCAGAGTTTTGTTTCGTATGACCTTTTTTAGGATAGATGAATAAATTACTTTAGGGATAAACAGTAATTTTTTTTAAGAGTTTTATCGACAGAGGTTTGTGACCTCGATGTTGAATATTTAAAAATTTTTCGTGGTGTGAAACAGTTACCCAGAAAGGAAGGTCTGTTCGACCTTTAAATTTTTCAGATTTGAGTTCTAGATCGGCGAAAGCCAGGTTTGGTTTCTATCTTTCTAAGGAGCCAAAGCTTATTTTAGTCGAAAGGATTAAGTAATTGAAATTGTTTTAATAAAAAATCAGAAAAAAGCAGGGGATCTTTTCTTTTATCTCCAAAATTAATATTTTAAGTACAACTATTTTCTGTTAGAATTTTGAGGGCCCGCAGAGGTCTGATGAGATACTAATAATACTTATAATAACAATCAAGGTAAG